GTAAGTCAGAACTGGCGGTCAGTTTCAGCAGCGGCTGAATCTGGACGCCAGTTCCAACTTACATACAGATTCAACTTAAGAACAAACCTACAGTCCCTATCTTGTACGTAACCCGGGGACTGCCTGTATTTCCACACTCTACACATCAGAGGTTCTTAGTTTTCCCATGTTGCAACCCCCCAATTTTACAGCAGAACGGGAAAATCCGAGAGGTCAATACGCCCTCTGACGTGTTCTCAAGCTTCCGATCAAGAACCACTGCTGTGAATAGCTTTATCCCCATTGTATGCTGCAGACAGAAAAATTAAGAGGCTAATTTTTGGCTTAACAGAGAGTCAGAGGTAGGACCTGGGATTTGAATTTAGGAGGAGTTCCAGGCTCCCAGCCCCATGCTCAGTTCATCAGACCATATTGCCTTCTCAGTTTAAGCAGAAGGATTCAGTTTAGTCTGCTAATTACTAACATTGATTCTTTTGAAGATTATACTAGACTTTTAAGATGAGGTCATGAGATTTACTGATGATTGGAAAGCTCTGAAAACCTTCACAATTCCTCAGGCCATGTCTTCCCTCAGGGGAAGATTGATGTTGCTGTAATCAATCTTCAGAAGTTTGATGTAGCGGGTCTAATAAAGACCCACTAAATCAAACTCAGAAGGCACTCACGTCCGCAGCCAGTACTCTTGCTCCTGCAAGGAGTCAGGGAAGCCTGATGGGAGTATTTGCTCCTGTTGGCCTCCCGCTGTGGGGACAATGGGGAAACTCAAATTAAGGTACGCCCACTCCAGCTACGTAATTAACATAGCTGGAGTTGCATATCTTAATTTGAACTTCCCCTTTAGTGTAGATCTGGCCTCAGTATCAGCCCACATGGGTCTTTTGAGGATCCTATTCCTATAAACTGCATCACGTGAAAGCAGCAAAGTACAGGGAGGAGGTAGAACTCTGAGCCAACTGTCCTGCTGTTGCCTGGACATCCCATACACCATGAGATTCTTACTTCATAAACCTTCATAAAACATTCTTTGGAAATCTCCACTGAGGTGGTGTTGGACAAAGCTATTTACTAGGATTAACTAAACTATATGATCATGGTCAGCTGTTCACAATGCTCCAAGGGGGACATCAAGGCACCAGTCAAGTCAATAAGTTTTAACTTGATTTGAGAAACTCCTCTAGTTCTGCCCAGTTA